GGCGAATGTTGGTAGAGGTGTTGAATCATGACTTTGTGTTTGTTTGTGTGTGTGTTGTTGTTGTTGATGTTGTCGTTGTTGTTGCTGTATGTATGTATTTATGTGTATGTGTGTGTGTGTGTGTGTGTGTGTGTGTGTGTGTGTGTGTGTGTGTGTTTATTTGTGTGTGTGTATGTGTGTGTTTTATGTGCGTGTTTTTGAGTGCCTATGTGAGCGTATATAATGCGTATGTATAATATGCTATCGTCATTTACTAAGCTACAGTTTTGCTGCCTTCCCATCAGCCGTTCGTTCGTTTCCACATTGGTGTTTCTGCGTTCCTCTGAATTGTGTGTATCTGACCATCCGCCATTACTAAGTTAAAGAAATCTTTCAACCATTCTATCCTTCGTTCCCTCGTTTTCCTATGTCTTGTTTTATTCATCCCCACAATAATTTGTTATTGTCGTTGGTTTGTCCTATCAGAAATAGATCTTACATAATTATGTGGTTCCGTCTCTTCAATAATTTAGCTGTTAAGAGCGTAGCCTCCCTACTACATGTATAGTATTGGTCCATACAATGCTGAATGCTCCAAGCGGGTGATTGGAGGGCGCCACTGGTATGTCCTGATCCTTTACTTACCTTCTGTTGTCCGTCTTTTTTACCCCCCCCCCCCCAAAGCACTAAATGATGGGTGGTTGGTGGGTGCTCTTGCGTGGTTTTTCCTCCTTTCCTATCAAATATCTATCGTCCTTAACTCTCCTCCTTTTTTTGTATATTACTCTCTTGTAACACATCTAATCTCTCCTGGACTTATATGACCTTATTGTGTTGCAAGTGCCGTAAATCTCTTACTAAAACTAAAACTAAAAAAAAAGCCTACTAAATTACCATTATTGTGTCGATGTACTTCGTTTTACTCAAACAAACATACCATTTCGTTCCATTCAGTATCACAGTGTACCATAAGAAACTTGCCTTGACATAGAATGTTTTAGCATCTCTGATCGTCCAATCGCGGCACAGTAATTTTGCTAATTGTATATTATGTTATTAATTGCTTACTCTGGCAATGGCAATAATAATTTAGTACTCCCTTCTGAAAAGATTTTTTTGGTTACATGTTTATGTGTTTTCCTCCTTCTTAATATTTCCACTTCGTCTAGTGGGTGGTTGGTAGGTGGTCTGGTGTGGTTTGCTCTTTCTTTCCTTTCAAACATCTGTCGTCCTTATCTCCCATCCTTCGTTTTGTTTTTTTTACTCTCTTGTGACATCTCTTTTCTAATGCACTTATTTGAACTAATTGTGTTGCAAGTGCCGTAAAATGCTTACTAAAACGTATAAACATTTGAATTTATTTCAACCCTATTTTTTCTTCTCCTCGTCAGTCGGATACAGCTCGGCCCCACGTTGTGACCTTGGGAAAGGCACTTTGAACGAATTTCCCGTTTGGCTTGGTCCTTTTGGATGAACGTTATGCTCGGAGGTCCCGCCTCTTAAACAACCCAATCGTGTTGATAGGGGCGTTAAACCTATACCGTTTCACCCTTTTCCTTCCTTCCCCTCGTTAGCCGGACATGCCCATTTCCCTTGGGATTTGTATACGTATCAACACGAGAGCGATATTTGTCATAAAACATGGCATTATGTCTATTTTTTTCACCCAAAGACAAGAATGTAAAATTTCCAGTATAAAACAAAAGGAAATTCTCTGTTCGGGATGTTCTTTGTACAGATATTATATATGGCGAGTAGGTTGTTGGCGGGTGCTCTGGTGTGGTTTGCTCCTTCTTTCCTATCGAACATCTATCGTCCTTTTCTCCCCTCCTTCTTTTTATGTTTGTTACTCTCTTGTAACACCCCTAATCTTCTGACGCTCATATGACCTTATGCAGTTGCGAGCGCCGTAAAACCTCTACTAAAACAAACAATATATAGCGAGGATTCTGTTTTTCTCAGAACATGGTAGATCAGACGAATAATTTCACTAACGCCTAGCTCCCTCCTCACATCTCAAATCACAGAACGCACGGCTACTGAGCCAGCGTACAGTTGTGATGAAAATCAGACTGCTTAAGACTGCTTCACAAACGTTTTGTTGTACCATACTGTGGTTGTACCCAGGACTTGTTGACAACTGATCTGTGATGCCTAGAATGTACCTAATACATTTTGTTTTTCAGGAGCTCTCGTTGTCTAGAGGTTACTGTGTTCGCCTCTCATTCAATAGGTCCTGGGTTCGAAACCTGAGAGCAGCGAAAAAAATTTTTCTCATAAAAATTTCTCCTTTTACCTCTTTTCATCATCATCACCATTGCCTTTCTCACCCTGGGTCAGGATATAGGCCACGAACAAACACTCTCCACCTTTCCCTATCCTGGGCTAGTCGCTTGATGTCACTCCACGTCTTCCCACTTTTCTGTACGTCCATTTCCGTGACTCTTCTCCAGGTTCCACGAGTGCCCTTGATCTTTTACCCTGTGGGTTCCAATCTAACACTTTTCTTGTTATGCAGCTGCTTGACTTCCTGAGAGTGTGTCCAATCCATCGCCAACGTCTTGTCATCTCTTATCGGGCTCTGTCTGGTTCTTCTTAATACTTCCTCGTTGGTGATCCTGTCTGTCCATTAGATCCTCAGCAGCCTCCTCAGACACTTGTTCAAGAAAAACTGGATCCTCTTTATGCACGTGTGGGATGCGTTCCACGTCTCACACCCATACAACAAGACTGACTTCACATTTGAGTTGAAAATTCTAATGTTCGTAATGAGATATCCCTGGTCCTCCAAATCCTGCTCAAAGAAAAAAATGCGGCCTGTGCCTTTCCAATGCGGGACTTTATTTCAACGCCTGTTCCTCCCTCTCTGTCAATTATACTCCCAAGATAGCAGAAAGATTCGACGTTTTCTAGTGCATTTCCTTGTACTGTGACGTGCTCCTTTCGTAGTGCATCTATCCGTAGGACTTTCGACTTTCCGGAGTGTATCCTCAACCCAACAGACTCTGATAGGCTGTTTAAAATTGTTGTCTTTGCTTGCATCTGTTCCTGAATGTGAGACAGAAGCGCCAAGTCGTGTGCAAAGTCCAGGTCGTCCAACTGTGTCCATGGGGTCCACTGTATACCGTTTCTGTGTCCTCTGGTGGTTTCCTTCATCAGCCAGTCAACTGCCAACATGAAGAGGAATGGTGATAATAAACATCCCTGTCTCACACCAGTCTTGATGTCAAAGTTGTCAGTGAGCTGGCCATCATGTACAACCCTGCAACTTGTCTCTTCGTACATGCTCTTGATTAGGTTCACCAACTTCTGGGGGATTCCGTGGTGTCTCAGTATCTTCCATAGTGTTGTTCGGTCTATACTGTCAAGAGCCTTCTCATAGTCAAGTAAGTTGACGATCAGCTGGGAGTTCCACTCCAGGGACTGTTCCACAATAATCCTCAGCATTGTAATCTGGTCGGTAGTTGAGCGATTTTACTCCTCTCTTATTATGTTCTGTCGTCTACTTTCGTCTCCAATTTCTGCCCCCTCTCTCCTTCTCCCGCTTGCCCTCTCCTTCGGGCTCCCGACACCTCCTGCAACCTTTTTACTGCTGCTCTTTGACTCCTCCTTACTGCTATCTTTCACTCGCACCCCTGGTCTTATGATAGGTAAGATGTAACACCTGGCATTTTCGGACAAGGCGAAACATTGTGCACGGTTAAAGATGCCTTGATGGTTCTAAAATCGATGAGAGTAGGCTTCGGCCGCCACCCGGGCAAAATTCAAAATTCTTTCCAAACTAAAAATGTTTAATGTGTCCCGTGCACTCCTATGACCTTATGCAGTTGCGAGCGCCGTAAAACACTCACGAAAAATAGTTTTTATTGTTTTTTTTTGTGCTGCTTCATAGCAACCTTCTGTGTTGTCCCAGTTTTTTTCTAGCAAAAATCCCTCGTTCAGACTGTGAGTAAGGTTGGTGGTTGGCGGGCGCTCTGGTGTGGTTTGCTTCTTTTTTCTTATCAAACATCTATCGTCCTTATACCCTCCTCCTTCTTTTTGTTCTTTTTACTCTCTTGTAACACATCTAATCTTCTGGCTCTCATACGACCTTATGCAGTTGCGAGCGCCGTAAAACCTCTACTAAAAAAAGACTGTGAGTAAGAAATGAATGCTATGTGTCCTCAAAAGTAACACTATTATATTTTGTGTTGGTCAGCCGGACAAGCCTGTGTCCCCTGGGTTCTGTGTACGCATCAACACGGGGGCGCCCGTGCCGGCCGGGGCTGACGCCGTGGTGCAAGTGGAGGACACGCAGCTGGTGGAGGCCTCCAGGGACGGCAAGCAGGAGATACAGATCAAGATACTCAAGTTCCCCACTGTGGGGCAGGACATCAGGTGGGGCTGTTGGCTGGCTTTCTCTCTGTCTGTTTCTGGATGACTGTTTGTCTGTCTGTCTGTCTGTCTGTTTCTGGATCACTGTCTGTCTGTCTGTCTGTCTCTTGATGACTGTCTGTCTGTTTGTCTGTCTGTTTGTCTTTCTGTTTCTGGATGAATGTCTGTCTGTCTGTCTGTCTCTGGATGACTGTCGGTCTGTCTGTTTCTGGATGTCTGTCTGTCTGTCTGTCTGCCTGTCTGCCTGTCTGCCTGTCTGTTTCTGTCTGTCTGTCTGTCTGTCTGTCTGTCTGTCTGTCTGTCTGTCTGTCTGTCT